TCCAAGGCATGGCGTCCATTAACCTGCCCTGCCTCAGCAGCACAACAGGCTCCAACGGCGATGGCGAGATGCGTCGCAACTCTCCTGATGTGCGTTTCCCTTAGCAACGCTTCTCAAATCCTCTCCACCAATTCTAACCAGCTTCTTCTGCTGTGGACTCGTGTTTTATGTCGCTTTATTATTATTATTATTATTATTATTATTATTATTATTATTATTATTATTATTATTTGGAGCTGGATAATTGAGGTCTGAAACTGGCTGTCAACAATTTATTCATTTCGCAAACAGTGACCTATGTAGTTCACGGAAGAGCCAAAAGCCCGCCATCTGGTGCCGCACAACTGCGCGAGTACGTCCCATCATTTGACGCAAGTCGGCCAGCCTGGCTGTGTATCATTCTGGCGCAAACAGCATGATCCCAGTCTGATCCCGAAAGTACGGAGCCCTCCAGGGGACATGGGGGTTTTTTTTTTTTTTTTTTTTTTTTACGTCTCATGTCCTATGCTTTTATTGTGAAGTGCTTCCTTTTATTTTGAAGGAGGTTTGTGCCGCTTCTTTTCTTCTTCTTGACGTTTGTCGGTTGATCTGATTTCCGTTCGCTGTTTCGAGGCGGCGCGGCAGTCGTTGCTGATGTGAGTAGTGACGTTAGTTGTGTTACATGAATAGGAGGATGTGAGGTATCACTTCTGACACTAGCGCTGCTTAGCTACTGGTGTATTTCTATAGTTTTCCATCGTCTGTTTTACTCTTACTGGTTGTGATGTAGTATTGAAACCATCTTTATATTTAACTGTTAGTCTTGAGATTTGGGCAGTTAGAGCCAGACTGATTCCAGGTGCTACTCTGCATCCTTCAAATTTAAACAGCACTTTACAAAGGGACTTAATGCTGATGTTTTAGGTCTGTTTACTCACTCGTGTTCATTTTTATATTTATATTATCGCAACAGTAAGTTGGAACTCGATTTATTTATTATTTCTGCATTTTCAGAAGCCGCTTCACTATGTATGCACCGTTGTAAATGACAGTTCTTCAGTAAACCCATTTAAACATCTGATGACCAGCGTGCTTCCTGACCGAAGCCCTGTATCATCACACTTCCTCCACCAAAAATCAATCATGTTTCTTATCTAAGGGAGAGAAACAGGCGTTTCAATTTTATGAGATTTCTTGCCAAAAAAAAAAAGTCTGCCAAGCACAAATTTCCTCGCTTCTTCTTGTGCTATATTTGTTTTGGGTTTTTTTAAATAATCAAATTAATCAATTTTAGTCAAAAAATGTCAAAACTTTGTAAGAATTACTTAACATTTTCACTAGGTTTTTTTTTGTTTTTAACCATTTTTCTCTAATGCACAACCCTTTCGAGAACCAAACACAAATTAAATTCGGCAGCAGTATTTTGTCCGGCTCCTTTGTTGACTCACTGACCCCGCTGCGCTGCATTTGTTGATCTGATCACTCTCTGCAGATGCTCTTATCTTTTGTGCAAACAGCTTTGCAATGCGAGCAGTGCAGGAAATCCCACAGAAAACCAGGATATTGAAGTTGATAAGCAGTCCTGATTCCACTATCAAATTGGAAACATTGTGATACCCTGGTTTTAACTCTGGACTCTTAGACCGATTCCACCCGTGGATGTAGCAGACATAAAAAAAAAAAAGTTGGGGGGGGGCTGTTGAGGGTTTGATTTTAGCTTGAGCATAAATGCAGGAATAGATAACAACATAATAGAGCCTTATTAAGATATTCCTCAGATCTAAAAACATCGCCCAGAATGGGTTTTAAGAAAAACTTAAAACAACAGTGAAATGGATGGTTCTCACAGGTGTAGTTTACAACTTTTTAATGCAGACTATATAGAGCGTACCTGTCAGCTGCACTTCTGTCTGAGCAAAAAAAACAAAAAAACAAAACAAACTCAGTTACTGCAGGCTTTAACCTGATGTTTCGCCCGGTCTTTTACCATGTGCTAACATTTATTTATTCACACCAAACGAGCTGTGGATCCCATCTTTTCATGGGGAAAGTAATCGTACACTAATGGTGTTCCGCGGTGCTTTTTACTGCTTTGTCTCTGATCTAGACGAAGCCTTCATTTTAATCCACTTTGTGACCCAGCAGTGATGTTTAGAGCTGAATGGGGAATGATCTCATCCTGCCCATCAGGAGGATCCAATCCCTTGTTGGTTGTTTTTTTTTTTTTTTGGTGCTGCTAACTTGTTCATATTGTGGTTCTCTTTGACGTTTTGTTAGGTTCCGCTCCAAACAAGGCTATATTTTTTGTAAGGTGAAATGTACACATAAAATAGGAACAGCTGGTCCAGTAATTTCTTTGCCTGCTTGTCCACTCCACCGAGACTTTTGGTCCAACCAACTGTGAGCTTTTCAGGGGTGTTTTTCATCAAACTGTAGCTCCCAAAAGGCTGATCCCATCTCTTAAAGGGGCAGATCAAATTAGAGAAAACAACTCCGCTGAGATACACATTCAACTGTCATGATTTTAAATTTTTTTTTTACAAAGAGAGGTAGATTACTATGCTAGTAATCAATAATACAAAAAATAAGGTTTTAGAGTGGTTTTGTCAAATTTTTTTTTTAAACTAAAATCAGATTGGCACGCTGTGGTATGACCTTGAACATGTTGTTCATGTTGAGAAAAAAAAAAAAAAAACAAAAAAAAAAAAAAAAAAGGTTTTGGAATGGCCTAATCAAAGTCATTTCTAAAATGAAATCATTTGAAAACTGAATTTTGCAAACTCATGTTTCTTTGTCTGATAAAAAAAAATGCATGAGGAGGCCAGACACTTATTTATTTCACTATAAATTTTATATTTTATGAAATTCTAATTTACTGAGTCGCAGCTCCATGACGTCTGTGACCTACTTCAGTTATTCAGCAGCCTGCTAATAAAAGGAACCTGCTAATAATTGTAAAATACGGTGTGGGCTTCTAGCAGATGAGGAAAAATGAAATGACTTCCGGGTTGTTTAACACTGCCGAGAAAAACCACACCACTGTCATGCCGATGTCCCAGCAGCATCCCCGGGAATCAGGTGCAACACCATCCGCAGCCAGAACAGGGGAGGAGCTATCAGAGCCAGGTCACACCCCTCCACTACAGCGCTTCACCCGAGAGAGAGAGGGAGCGGAGAGAGAAACTAAGGAGCGCTCAACAGTCCGCCACCGTCCACAACCAGAAAAATATGATCCGGACCCGATCCTGCGCTTCTCCCACGAAGACAACACCTGATCTCAGCCGAACCCAGTGACCACCGCTCGGCGTTTGCTCTGCCCTGCTTAACTATTTTTAATTTTTTTTACATTTTTTTTTCTCACACCTTCTCTCTCTCTCTCTCACTCACTCTCTCACACACACACACACACACACTCTCTTTGCGTGTCTCCGGTGGATCTTCCGTGCCAGAAAATCATGTGCGTGGAGAGCGATGGATGCGAGATCGAGGGCTGTAGCAGTTCGGACGAGGTGCGCACGCTGTCGGGCAGCATGAGCCCCGGACTGATGCCCAGCCCGGACCTTCACTCCTGCAAACCGGGCCAGAAATTCCGCGCCGCGCTGCTCCGGTGCCGCCGCACACCGGCTGTCGCTGCGGGAGTCCTCAGCTTTGGGAACGTCCTCAATTACATGGACAGATCCACAGTGGCTGGTAAGAGATCTGATTTATTACTTCTTTTTGTTTTAGACACTTAGTATATGATATTGAGTTTGCATCAGGTTTCCCTTATGTGAAGGGAGTGGATTTTTTTTCCCTTCTTTTTTAGTTTATTCGCTATAGTGATTGCGCTCTAATTGGTCAGTGAGCGGCTCTCCATGCGCAACCAGCTTCACCTCAGCAGAGACGGGCGGAACAATGGGCCATCCCCTGTTTTGGTGCCTGTCTTGTAGCTGCAGAGTGGCTGATTGAATCAAACAGATACGCGCCCTCCTTATCGCTCAACAAAACGTCCGAGAGTAAAGATTTGTTTTTGTGACGAACTGGATGTCAGATGATTGGAAATCGATCAATTAAGGCGATCAGCTCTCCGACCGCCCACCATCCCGACTGCATGCTTTCACACCGTTAGGAACCACTGTATGTGTGTGTGTGTGCATGTGTATGTGTATGTGTGTGTGTGTGGGCTCATCTTTCAGACCGCTTTCATCCGCCGGCAACATGACAGTAAATCACGATTCCCCGTTTGTTTCTTTGGAGACATGAATGATGATTTGATGCTTCTATAAATCCGGCCGGTCCTCCTCAGGTTTAGTGGATTTTCTTACTTTTCGTAGACTTCAGAATAAACTTCTCACAACAGACGCTTTTCGAATTGTTTGCCCTTGTTGTTATAATTTACATCAGATTTCCAGCTCACTGCATGGACAGCAATCCGCTGATGTTGTTGGGTTGAATATTAATGCTTGTGATGGGCGAAGCGTGGCGCTGAATGGGTTAAAAATACTGCTGCAGCATCAGTGCATGGCTGTTCTGTGCAAAGGCACGCTCCCTTGGTTAAAGTGCAAACATATTATTCACTGACTTATTAACCGGAATTGTGTGTCCATGGGATCAATTTACCACGTTAAACCTTTTCGACATCTTGTCATTACTTACAGCCATAAACGTTGATGTGTTTGTCAAGATTTGATGCGACAGATACAACACGGACGTCTAGAAATTCGATTTTTGGTCCGTTTCTCTTCATGAAACAGTTCAAGGCCAGTCAGACTGGCCTGTGAAGGACTCATTTTCATGTCTTGCCACAGAGTTTCAATGGAATCGAGGTCTGAACTTTGACTGGGCCACTGTGACGCGTGAATATGCTTTGGTGTAACCCCATTTCGTCGTAACTCTGGCAGTATGTTCCAAATCCAGTGTAGCGTGTAATCCTTCTCCCAAAGAAGAAGAAGAAAAAAAAAAAAAAACATTCCCACAGCATCATACTGCCACCACCACAGAGGGGACGGTTTATTCAGTGTTACTTTTCCGGTACTTTGCATGTGGGTGAAAAACCATGATGTTTTTCTCCCCTGACCAGATACCTCAACGTGTTTGTTGTGTGAGGGGCGTCGAACTTGTTTTCATTTTGGGACTTATTAAAATTCAGAATGTCCAAAAAGGCAAAACGTATTGAAAAAGCCCCTTTAACAAACGGTTAAAGATAATAATAAGTAGCTCTCTCTCCATTCAGTCCTTAAAATAAAAATATCAAACATATTTTCACATTGACGTCATTTGCAAGTGTATAGATACAAACGGCTTTGATTTGATTGATAACATTTAAACACACAACCGTTATCTTGAAGGTTTTGGTTTAGTTTTGTCCTAATTTACTCTTGAATTGTGGTCGGATGGGGGCTGGGGCCTCAACAAAAAAAAAGAAAACTCCTTCCAGAGGCCACAAATAGTCAAGTTTGACACTCGTGCTGTAATTGGAGGGTTTCTCCGCTGTCGGCTCTGGCAGAACCAGGAAACGTCAATCAGACACTCTGGAAAATCTGCACACTTTGGACAGCTGCACGCCTTCAGCTCATCATCCCGAAGGCTTCGGGTCCGGCCCGTCGACCGAACTGCGCCTGAGCGAAGCCTCGGGCGTCTGAACGGTCATTTTATCAAGAACGCCGGGAATGCATGCGCATGCAGTAGCCTGCTGTCTAATCTTAGCATCTCTGAGCACCGCTCAGTCACAGAAGAAACAAACAAAACCCTCCTCAGTCGAGGAGGATGAGTCAGTGGCCGCTCTGCAGGAGCAGATTTGTCCTCCTATTTCCTTACACCTCCTCACGCTTTGATCAGAGGAAAGCCCTCATTAAGCCCCCAAAAGCAGCCGTCGTTTTCATCATGAGCCCGCTTCTGCGGTGGAGGGAAAATCCCCCCCTGGACGTCAGCGGGGACGAGGACGCGATGAGGGAAGGGTGGGAACAGGGAGCAGGGCCAGGGAGCGTGGTGGACAGGGGCGTGTCTAGATTTATTTTTCTCAGGAGGTTCCAGGCAGTGCCACAAACGGCACAACGGTGGCTCACTAAAAATGCAATTCCATCTAAATTAGACCTCTGACCCTGCTCCGTTTTTGTTCAGATTTTGTGAAGACGCTGCGCTCATGTCTCCTTCAGAGTTTTTTTTTTATGTCGTATTCTTCAGCAGTTCTTGGTGCGGCGCCACCACAGGCCAACGAGGGGGAGGAGAGATTTTGTATTGTTTGACTCAGTACTTTGTGAAGGCAAACGGCAGCAGCTAAAAATGAAACAAATGTTGCAATTTTGATCCCCAATCGAACCGAGTCGATACTGGACTAGCCTTACATTACAATCAACAGCAGTGGAATAATCAAACTATTTATTTACCTACCCAAACAAAACACATGGATCTGTTAGCTACTGTGCAGAGGATTTGTTTGATACAGTGACTCAGGCCACTGGCTAATTTTTCTAGTCACACGATTAGCCTGCTTGGCTTAGCATAGCTTAACTGCATGCAGCTCTTTATCAACTTAAAATCAACATTATCAAACCATTGTAGGCTAAAAATGGCAAGCAACTGTTTACTTACCTCCTTTTCTTCTTTGTGAAAAGCTTTTTTCCCCCCCGTAAATAAAAAGTATTAATGGCGGTTCTAAGACAACAAAAGGAGCATTTATGTCACAAAATGCTCCTATGATATGAACAAACTGACTGACAGCTCAGGTGGGGGTGACCAGGCAGGGCGGCCAATCACACTTCAAGGGTAGCTGGTTTCCACACCTCCCAGCTAGACGTGGGGTCAAAGGGAGGTGGGGAAGATGATGGATGCTGCAACTTGGCCTTGTGCGGAGAGACCGTGCGCAGTGGTGTGGGCCGGCCGTGGGGGTCTCCTCCCCAAACGGCGCCACCTGAATGCTGCTGGGCCGTTTTTTTTGCATTATGTATGGGCAGCATGTGCATCCGGCCAGCACACACACAGAGGCGACTACCAGCAGCCGCGTGTGTATCCAACAGCAGCTAATGCACACAAAACATCATCTGCAGCATTTTCCCCTCCTCCTCGAGCGTTTTTGCTGCAGCATGAGCTGTGCTGCAGCAGTAATTAGCCAGCTCCAAACGTGCGCACGTGTGTGGCTTCGATTTCTTTTGTTTCTCCCCAACGTGCCTCCTACTACTTCTCCCGCTCTCCCGATGCAGGTACCCGGAGCACCTACCCCGTCCCATAGATCTTGATGTCAATTACGCAGGGATGAGTGCACACACACACACACACACACACTCAAAAACGAAGACTCTCCAGTGCATTTCAAGAGTGGCTGAATGCATGATGGGACGTGTGAGGGGAGGGGCCAGCTGCTGCAGTGGCAAGCGGACGCTGAATGCTGGCAGAGCTGAACCAGAGCGATGCCCCCCCACCCCCTCCACATCCCCATCATTACAACATCAGCATCAAAAGGTCTTTGTACCAGCAGCCTTTAGTGTGGTGTGTGGGGATCACTGAAGCATTGTCACAGAGACACTCGGTGACCATTCTGGAGAGCACGGCCATTCTGAGCCACAACAATGATGGGAAAATTGCACCTACCAGTGTTGGGCAGCGACGCCATGACTTGGATCTTTAAAGCTGCCGTCTGGACTTTTCTGTGAACTCGGTTAAACTCAGTGTCAGCTGTACAGCAACACGGCATGTCAGGTTTTTTTTTTCCTGTTGTAAATTGTTACTTAATCAAGATGAAATCTACCCTTTCCAAAGGAAGCCTCTGGTGACATCATCAAAGGGCGCCAAAAAGGCAACCAGTTTTCCTCTTTATTCGCGTGTTTTCATTCTAATCCCTTCTTCAAATGTGTAACTGTGCTTTGAGGCGAAATGTTTGGGACGTGAGGGAGAATGTTGGGTGAAATTTTTGATAAAATTTGGCAAAATTGCCTCTTTTGATGTCATCGACTCAAATGCAAACAAAGCAGAATTGGGAACTGCTTTTTTCAGCGGCCGTTTAAATAATTATTGTTTCAGATCCAGTAGTGGGAATCCAGCTGTGTTTTTTATTGTCAGCGCACTTTTTTTTTTTTTTAGGAAAAAAAAAACACACACACACACACAACAGGATTGTGCCTTTAATCCCTCATGACAGAGATAATGCGACACACACACTGCAGATACCCAGTGATTCAAATACGTCACTCAGCCATGATAGTGGTTTAGGAACCACAAAAGAGCAAAGTCACAATGCCCGCTTTTTCTTTTTTCCCCTGTCTTTTTTCTTTTTTTAAACCAGAGGTTGTTTTGAACTGGTTCTGGATGGATTTACTGCCAATATGCTTTGTGTCAAGACTTTGGGACACACTTTTATGAGAGAGGGGAGCAGCAGCTTCAAAACATTGTAATTATTTGAGAGCTAAGCTGCCGCTTACCGAGGCTGGGAGATCTCAGGGTGGCGCTAGTAAGGAGAAAAACAAAATCTGCATCGCATTTGATCATAAATTCTGACAAATTACAGATTCCTGCAGATCATCGTTTGAGCCGCCTACTTCTAACATGGCTTTCTTTTTTTTTTTTCTTTTTTTTTTTTTTGTAAATATCTGGCTGCTTGCTGTAATGTAGCGCGGTGAGCTTCGGTCATCAACAGGCTGGGAAGGCTTCAGATTTCCTCACTTTCCACTGGTTGCTGTTGTGGCGTTTGGCATTTACGCAGAGATCTGGTTTTGCTC